CCTCAAATCTACTCCAGGTCAAGGATTGATGTTTGATGCATTATCCTCTTTCTAGATTAGAGCCTTCACTGATGCTGACTGGGGATCATGTGTTGATTCAAGAAAATTAGTTACTGGTTTTTGTTTGTTTCTTGGGGATTCTTTAATCTCTTGGAAATCTAAGAAGCAAACTACCGTATCCAGATCTTTAGCAGAGGCGAAATATCGTACTTTAGCGTCAACAGCTTGTGAAATTATTTGGGTTCATAAGCTCTTCCTTGACTTGCAGGTCCCGATTTCACTTCCAGCTCAGGTTTACTGTGACAATCAAACTGCCATCCACATCGCTACTAACCCAATTTTTCATAAAAGGACAAAGCATATACAGATCGACTACCATTTCGTTCGCGATAAAGTTACCAATGGTGTCATCAAACTGTTACCAATTCGTACTCAGCATCAATTGGCTGATATGTTCACCAAACTGCTATTGTCTTCTCAGTTATTCCCACTCTTATCCAAGATGGCTATTCTCAATCTACATAGTCCATCTTGAGGGGGAGTATTAGAGGACAGCTCATCACTTCCAGCTCAGCTCATCTTGGCGCCAAATTCATAGAAGAATCTAGTTAGTTTAAGCTGTTAGTTTGTTAGTTAGAATACAACTGTAAAATCTGTCTAATTGTATTTATACGGACAAGTGTATTCAATTCCAATTCTGTATTTTTGTATTTTGAATAAAAGAGATTTCTTCTGTCAAATACGAGTCCATATTTCATTCACCACTCTGATAGCCCATGGCTTATTCTTGTCTCGCAACCTCTGACCAAAGATAATTACACCTCATGGAGTAGAGCAATGGTTATTGTTTTATCAGTGAAAAACAAGTTTGAATTCATTGAGGAATCTATAACTAAGCTTGAAGGTAATGATGATCTTCTCAATTATTGGATCCGCAATAACAACATTATGATTTTGTGGATCCTAAATTCTGTGTCCAAAGAGATATCTGCAAGTGTCATCTATTCTGAATCTACTCATGACAATTACATTAATTCTATGGAGAGATATCAACAGAGAAATGGACCTCGAATATTCCAATTGAGACATGAACTGATGAACTTGACTCAAGGTCAATCCTCTGTTAGCACATACTTTACCAAATTGAAAACTATTTGGGAAGAATTAAGTAATTACAGACCTGTATGTTCCTTTGGAAAGTGCAATTGTGTGAGAAATAAGAAGCTATCCAAGCACTACCAAATGGGATATGTCATATCCTTTTTGATAGGGTTAAATGAACCCTTTTCTAAAGTTAGAGGGCAATTACTATTAATGGATCCTATTCTTCCAATAAATAAAGTCTTCTTTCTTTTTTCTCTAGAGAAGCATCAAAGCAGTGTTGATACCAACACAAGTGTATCTTTTTGCTGATTCCATGGCATTTTATGCCAAAGATGATCCAAAAGGGACTAATATAGGATAATTGCACAAGAAGGAAAGGCCTATATGTACTTACTATGGTTACGTAGGCCATCCTGTAGATAAATGCTACAAGCTGCATGAATATCCTCCAGGATATAAGACCAAATCGAAATTTGCATCTAGTTGCAAGTCATGTGTCAACAACCAGTCCAATTCTTTCATTGCTAATCAAATTTCTGAATCTATTTCATATCCAACCCAAGGCAATGTTGGAGACTTCATGCAAACTTTAAATCCTACACAATATCAGCATCTGATGAACACGTTGAGTAAGTCATTTGGTGTCTGCAAAGGTTGATGCAGCAGTTGATGTACATTCTAATTAGATGTCAAGTACATGTTTCTCCATTTCTCAATTTTCCTGGACATTGGGTGGTGGACTCAGGAGCTACTAGCCATAGCTGCTTCAATTCCTTATTCACAAAAGGATCTAGCAGCAGCTTTGTAGCCCTTCTGCTTTATGTTGATGAAATAGTTATTGTTGGACAAGATCAACAAGTCATTGATTCTTCAAAGTCATTCTTACATGGCTAATTTAAGCTCATTGACCTTGGACAGCTAAAGCACTTCCTTGGTATGGAAATTTACAAATCATAGAAAGGTGTTTTCCTATCCCAACATCATTACACTCTTCAATTACTTGAAGATATCGAGTTTCTAGCTTGTAAACCTACTATTACCCACGGATCCCAAGCTTCGTCTTAGCTCATTTAAGGGAGAACTCCTTGCTGATGCTTTAATGTATTGAAGGATAGTGGGTCGCTTATTATACCTACCATATTTCGCCCAGATACTATATTTGCAGTCCACAAGCTCAATCAATTTGTGTCTCAACCCAAACAAACTCACCTTGATGCGGTCCATCATCTCCTACAATATTATAAGACTACTCCAGGTCAAGGCATCCCATTTTCTACACAATCATCTTTCTAGCTTTGAGCATTCTCTGATGTAGACTGGGAATCCTTCCTTGATTTGACACAAATTTTTGCATCTTTCTTGCAAATTCATTAGTCTCGTGGAAGGCTAAGAAACAAAGCATCTTGTCTAATTCTTCAGTTGAAGTAGAATATCGTGCATTAGCTTCCACAGCAAGTGAACTTGTATGGCTCAATCAACTACTCCATGATTTTTAGATTTCCACATATGCTCCTACCTTGATCTTCTGAATTAATCAAGTAACAATTCATATTGCATCTAACCTAATCTTTCATGAACGAATTAAGCACATCGAAATGGATTGTCATTTTGTTTGAGATAAAATCAATGATGGGTTTATCAAACTGTTATCCGTTTGATCCCATCATTAGCTAGCTGATATTTTCACTAAGCCCGAGTTTGGCCCCTAGTACATTCCATTCCATTACATTTCATTTTTATCTCTCATATTTTCAATCACACACTCTTCCATAAAATGATATTACACATAAATCGAAAACTTTTCCTTCATTTTCAACCACGCATTTAAAAAAGAAAAAAAAACACCATTCCTCCCATTTTCATTTGAAAAAATGGGGGCCAAACGGGGGCTTAATCTTTATCAGCTACTTTGTTGTTTCCTTTACTGTCCAAAATGTGAGTTATCAACCTGCATGCTTCATCTTGAAGGGGAGTAACATAATATGCAACAGCAGCAACAATATGATGAAGACCAGCTGAATTAGTTAACTTAGTTTTGATAGTTAAAAGGCTAATGCTTACTTGTCAAACTTAGATTGGTTGTATAGCTAAGAGTTAGTTAGAGTTAGTTCAGCTCCTTGTATTTATATACAACCAGTCAATTAGAAATAATATAATTTTCTGCTCATTTCTTCAATTTGTTCGATAATAGACTCCTATAATAACCTCCCCTGATTTCTGATTCGATCGAACAATGCCCCATTGGGAACATACCCCAAGAAAGGATTGTAAATAGGATTATTGTGCTCTTTACAAGTAATCTTAGAACATAAATACCTAATAACATAAGGAGAGTTGAGTTGAGAAATTATAGACTGCTCTTTTTGTAAAAAGCAAGAAGAAGAAAGCTCTGTGGACTTCATTGCGAAAAATTCATAGGAGGAAGTGCTGGCGACTACCTAATATAGGACCTCTTGTCCATTCAATTGGAGAGAAATTGTAGTGCAGTCTTATTAGGTTTTATGTGTGTCCTTTATACTGAGAAACTTCTAATGTGTGTTTCTATGTGACGTCGAGATGCCATACATGTCAAACGATAGGTCTCTGCATAAAATAATACTGCTAGAGCTCGTGCGACATGGCAGTGGTAGGCTAGCGACAGAATAGGTTTCGACCCTTCATGTAGATTGGTGAGTTTTAGGGCGTATCTCTTCATGCACACCCTCTACTCCCAATCATATGAAATCATAGCATAACATAAAAATTCATATTATTTTAGCCGAAATTATGCATAAAATTTTTATTTTTCATTTCATTTTAAAAGGAGTACAAAAACCATCTTTTGGTTTGTTGTCCTTGTTTTTTGAAGTATTGCAAATACAAGAAGATAACTGTTCTATCTTGAGAGTTGATTGCTATCATCCGAGGGTAATGTTGTGGGAGCAAAATCAACTAAAAGACAAAAACTTCAACTATTGCCTCAACTTTGCATCCATTTTACTTAGTGTTACTTTGTTCTTTTTCGTTGGCGTTTATTTGGTGTTCTATTACTTCTCTCATTTCCGTTGCTCTGTCCAATTTGGTAAGGTAGGTAAATTCATATTTGATTAAAGGTATCGCTCAAATCCATTTTTACAAACAAGAAGAATAATGTCTATTATAAAAGGTTGCCACAACCATCCATAAAGTAGATTCTTAAATCCAAAAGCTCATGGAGGGGGCGGTGATAATGGTGATGATTTGATGATTCAAATGTGTAGGCTAGTGATTAAAGGCTTCCTCTCTTTCAATTTAAAAGTTGTAGGCAATACGATTCGGTGCTGGTGTGAGCACTTGGGGACATTGGTTTCACAGCTGGAAACCTCATAAAGTTAGGAGGGTTCAACAACCACTAACAAAAAGCTGCTTCTGTCAAAACTCTAGGGCATGTTTTCGAGTTATTTCCACTGGTTTTTACCCCTTTTTGGGTCACAGTTAAAATTTACATAATCAAGCGACATTTTAACTTAAGCTTGAAAATTCCCAACTGATTTCGTAACTAGTGGAAGACGGAAGAGGAGATCAGAAGGCTGGCCCTTCTTGCACCTAAAATAGTCTTCATAGTCATCCTCCGTTTGCTCTTTGTTGATTTCTTCTGTGGAAATATTATAACATTTGCTCTACCATATTTCTACCATTTTCTGCTAGCTTGCGTTTGTTAAATTTTCTAAAGCTTAATTTTCCAGCATGGGGAACATAATTTATGTTACATCTTTGGAAATGGCATCGATTCAATACTACGAAACCATTTTCACCGATCGAGGGATCAGCTATAACACAGTTCAACAAGAGCACGAATTCATGAAATTTCTTCTTTCAAGAGTAGTAACAGGTGAGAGTATTACTGATCACTACCTCGTTTCAGCACTCCCCTCACGTGTATATCGAAAAATGGATTTGCATGCCATATGACCACTTACACCGTTCATTGTGTTACAAAAATTTGTACAGGATGCAGACAAATTATTTATTTTACGTACTGGTCGAAAATCAAAGAACGGAAAAAGTAAAAAAGAAACAACAATGAAGAGCAAATATGTGTTCTAAGAAAAAAAGGTGCATGCTCATACGTAACTCACTTCTCTGCAAAACTTAAATTTCCCATGTTTCTGTCACTGCTATTTTTCGGAGAGTTTTTACTGTCAATACCAATATCTGGGTTTAGATTGCCTATGATAGAGCTTAAAGCTTCTGCTATGGCTGCTGTAAATTTTGGGTCTGAGGCAATGGCAGCAGTAGCTGCATTTGTCATATCGTGAGAGCTTTCACTACTAAAAAATGCGGCATCAGAGACTCCGGGGAGAAATCTCGAATGGTTGTAAAGAGCGTGGGCAATGGCCTGTGGCCCGTGCCCGAAATCTCGAGTGAATTGGCCTGGTAGCATTTGCAAGTGCGAATGGGTGGTGGGAGTGGTTGTGAGATCTAATGTAACAGTAGGGAATGGTGCTGAAGCTGAAATTGATGCAAAATTTGCTGAGTAAGGAAGAATAGTTCTAGTGAGCATGTTAGGGTTCATGAATCCATCGGCACTTGGCATTGGCCCTGATAGCAACATTGATGCGGCTGCGGAGGTGGTGGAGGCCATTGACATGGCGGCCGGCGGTAGCGGATGGTTGTGGTTGCCTTCATAAGTGGTTATAAGTACCAAACGATCTTCCATACTCCGTTGCACCTGTCACATAAATATAGCCTCCTATAATTTGCACTTAAAACAAATAAGAAAGTTCTATCTTACACAACTTAAGGTTTATTATTATTATTATTATTTTAAAATATGACATTACACGCACGTCAAACTTAGCCCATGTTTGGTCTCTATTTCTTAAAACTCATTTTTATTCAAATTCATTTTTAATACAAGTTTTATGGGATCCATAACTTTTAGCCTAAATCTATTAAAAATATAATTTTTATGCAAACCAGACGGGCTTATCAAATTCTCCCATTTAACTGAAATGTTGAAAATATAAACAAATATGGCTAAAACCATTAGAGTCGATGTATTTTAAACATTCATGTTGGTAACCGAATTTTATTATCGGTTTTGCTAGTGATACATCGGGGTGTACCTAATGGTGTACACCCCACTCTCATGGACGAAAGATCCAATTGAATAAAATATCATTTCTTTCATATTGGTTCCACACCCATGTGAGTAAGGTGTATACCATTCGATACACCCTATTATGTACCACTAGACAAATTCCTTTAGTATATTCTAAGTTGGTCTTCATTTTCAATTCTACCTATATCCCTCTATCTTCGTTAGTGCCGTCTATAATTATAACTGCCGATAATTTCAAAAACCATCATTTCGTATTTTTTACTTATTTTGCAAAAACGGAGTTCTATGTTTTATAGTATAACTAATGAAATACGGGACACGACAATCTAATTGATAGCTTAATTGGCACAAACCTGGAATATGATTTCACATTTTTAGTCGGTCAAACTAATGAAAGTAGATATATTAAGCCATGTTTGACGACCTTTAGAAATTTCAATTATTTTCTATAGTATCATTTTTCACCACACATTCACACAATAAAATATTTTACATACAAACAAATAAAGTTTTCTTTTTAACCATACATTCTTCAAAAATACTATTCAAAATTCTTTAATTTTTCAAATAATGAGTGTCCAACAGGGCCTGCCTAAACTACTTGAAACAAGGTTAAGTGTAGTGACCATCTTATATCATAGTGAAAAATCTAGTAACCGATGCGAACTAAAAGTTTAATGTCGACCCGCGTATAAAACCCTAATAAATAAATTGGTTGCACTGTGACATTCAAAGCTTTTTAGACGAGTTGAATCCATATTAATACGATTCAAGAGATGTAAAATAATAACGAGAAGAAAGCATCAATAATAGAGTGATTAACCGTACTTGTTTGCGTACTGGACAACCAACTGCCATGGTACACCGATAATAAGCTCGAGGGAAGGGGTTCCCTTTTGCCATTTTTTGCCCATACTTTCTCCACTGGCATCCATCAGAGATCTATACACAGGTCAATATAAATATTTGGTTCATATTAGTATGCATTTGCGAATAGAATTGAACAATATAATAGACGATATCTATGATTTGACTTACTATAGATGCCTCTGATCGTGCTCGAACGGAGACACGGGCCTTTTTAATTGTGGCTTCTGCAGCTTGATCCGTATCCTTGGAAGAAGAATGAAATTTTGGTACTTTATTTGGAATCCATTCTTGAAAATTCTTTTCTGGGCTCTTTTCGCTCGTTGAATTCTTCTGCAATTCATTAGCCATTGACTTCTCCTCCATTGACTTGGAGACCAAAAATCGCTGTTTTTCTTCTTCTCCCACTCCGTCGTTAATCTATCAAAATATCACAACAAAGGATCAAATTGATGGCCCAAAGTTTTCTCTTTTAGTTCCATATTTGAATAAGACTAAAGAGTATAATCATAGTAATATATATAAATAGTACCAACCTTTCGATCTCCTGTGCTAATTGCACCTTTTAGGTTTTGTTGATGCTGTAAGAGTGTTCCAATTTGCATTTGTAAAGAATAATTTTTACTGTTTATTTGATTCAACATAGCTCTTAATCGTTCATTTTCCATGTTCACACGATCAAACTCAGACTTGAGAACTAAAAACTGCACCAGAATCAATCTTCAAGTCAAAGAACAGCACGAATAATAATAATAAACTCATCACACAATACTATCTTTCGATCTTACTTCGTTGGAAATTTTATTAACCACAGTAGATTTGTCACTAGCCGTTGTGTTTGTCGTCAGAAGATTCAAACCAGTCTACAATCATAAAAACATCGAAAAATAAAACATCGATTTCCCAGAGAAAAAAAGGGTTTTCATAAGAATAATTAGCATACGCTTATGTTAAGACGAAGCTCTTGTTCAACACAGTCAAAGTTGCTCTCTTTCTTGAATTGAAACATTGTTGATGCATCCTTAGAACAATTCTCATCAGCAAAGAAATCCATTTCATTGACAACCCTTTTCTCTCCATGATCATCAAGAGAATTGATAATCACCGTATGATCATGATCACTTGGGCCGTCCATATTTAAATGCAAGATCCAAATACAAAAAACTTGATCTTATCTTCAATGGAGAGTCTCCCTCTTTTTCTCTGTCCAAAAGAGATGAGTTTTCAGAGTCCTGAGTGTGTGTTGTGCGTGTGTATTTTGGGTCTTGGAAGTCTTATTAGAAGTTTCTGCAATTGACTAGGCATTAATATTTAACCATAAGGACTTATGACCAAATGGAATGATCCATTGGAAATGGTAGAAAAAATGGAGCGAGGTGAGATGGTGCATCAAGTAGATTCAGCCCCGTTGGTATCCATTCTCTTTCATTTTTTTCCTCTATTTTATTTTTAACCATACAATCTTTCATAAAATAATATTATACCTAAGTTGAAAATTTTTCATTCTTTCTCAATCACACATTCTTCAAAAAAATATTATTCCAAACATTAAATTTTTAAAAAATAGGGGGCCAAACGGACAGAATCTACTTAGTGTCAGAATCGAGTTTGACTCGTTCTCATAAATTCACCTCCCTGATTCCTCCGGCGCATTCCACCACCGGGGACGAGAAATTTTGACCCTGTATTATTATTATTATTATAAATAAACTGCAACGATTCTCATAAAAAAAGAATAATAAATAAATAAATTTTTTTTTAAATACGGTGTATTATTAATTGAAGACTTTCACCTAAGATTTTGCACCTTAATTACTGTTCTTGATTCTTCATTATATTTCTGAAGAAAGGTCTAAAAAATAAATATGAAAATAGACCTAATAAAAATCAACCCTCAGTTTAGTACGGCAAAGACGGAAAAAATATAAATATTTATTATTCTTTGTCATTTATTTCGCAATGCATTGACTATAAGAAACGTGAGCCTTGGCAATTAACTTCATTACATTAATTTAATACTTTAAAAGACGTGCAGATATTGTTTATTGATTTTTATTATACAATGGAAAATCATATCTTCAGAAATGTAGCGTAGTTTCTTGAATATGTATACTTGTTAATTAACTGTTTCTTTTTTAATTCTAAAGTCACAGTCGCAATATGATTAATAATTATAAAAGTCTCTCTTTTTAATTTCATATTAATGTATAAAAAGAATAAGTACCCATAAAATAATGTAACTTCTCTTGCACGAAAACTTTTCAAAATTTGTGCTCTTATTTTGTGATCATTTCAGACAAAATGAAGGCCCGTTTGGTATACATTAAAGTAAAAATGAGAATGAGAAATATAGTCGTTACGGATCCCACATAAGAGATAGAAAATGAAATATGGTGGCTTGATGTGATGGATAACGGTCATATTTTTTTATTTTAATGGGCAAATAATGAGAATCAAACGGGGATTTAAATGTTTAACCGTGCTTAAGAGTTGCTTCACTAGAAAGTAAGTTAAAAGTTTACTATTTTAGTTAATAATTGAAAAGGTATAATTTTAAAAGTACTCTAAAAATAAATAAGTAATTTTTCAAAAAAAATCATTGAGTTTTTTGTGTACATATACAAGCTATAAAAATCAAACGATTATTACTGATTTTATATTTACAGTTTGAATAAAAAAATAAATAATAATAATAATTTCCAAAAATAATTGACATCAAAATTAAATATAATATATATGCCCATGTCGGCATGCTATTGGCTCAATGGAAACAACGTAATAATATCAATCTCTTTGTAATATATTCATGTACGCATTACATTAAAAAAAAAAAAAAAAAAACATAAAAGATGATTGACTCTAAAGTTATGTTTGACAAGTTTTATAAATATTTTAAATTATAATAATTTTTATCAAAATACTCTTTTTCTATATGTTTTATAAACACTACAAATATTATTCACTTTTTTATCATTCGTTTTTATTTATTCATAAAAACTATTATTTATAACCACTTTTCAAACATATTATGCTCATTTTTGCTTTTGCTAAAAAAAATTAATTTTTTTTTCTAAAAGTTGATAAAATATGTGATTGAAAAATTAATAAAATTTGTGAATTTCATATATGTGATTGAAAATGAATTTGAAAAAAAATAAATTTTAAAAAATGGAAGCCGAACAGAAACTATATTTCTTTAATTATTTGACGATGGTAACATTAAAAGAAGTGAGTTCATTTGTAGGTTTTTAATTCATTGTATATCAAGGGGGCAATTATGACAAAATATGTTTGTAGTTTGTACACATAGATGAAAATGTACTCACGAATGGATATTTAAAGGTTGATAGATATTCTACGAAGGATGATGTATCATGATTGAGATTATATATGTATTTTATCAATTGTTTTCCAAAGAAAGTCTTTCGTTCATTATAACTTTAAATTGTTTTTTTCTACAGAACGAGATTATCTATCAAATATAGAATACGC